TATAGTTATAAAACAATCTTAAATTAAAATAATCACGGAAAGAAAAAAAAAATATCCTTATAATGCTGAAAATCACTTACTAAAAAGATATATTTATATACAAGAAATTTGTGTAAATTACAAAATAAATAAAATTTTCTAAGATTAATGTGTAATAAATATTAACAAATATGTTTTTTAAAATAATATAATAAATAATTCTACAATGTGCGAGTGATTTATAATCGGTCTAAACAAGTTATGTTTAATTTGTAATGTTATAATATATTTTTTTTATAAACAAATAAAAACAAAATTCAAAATAAGTACCTTCTTTGTAACAATTTCTATCCTCGCATTTACATTTGAAGTAATTCCTTAATGTAACCCCTTTGAAAATCCTTCTTTTGAACTTGTGATAACTATTATAATAACTATTAGAATTTTCCCTGTTAAAGGAACTAAAGTAGATTTTCACTTTCTTTGACGTGTTGAAATCAAGTTCGCAAGAGGTGAACATGGGTAATTTATCGCATCGAGAACGTTTCAAATTATTAGGGAAAGGTTTCTCTATATCACCGAAATAATGGTTAATGATGTCGAAGCTTTTATTAAGTGATTCGTTTATCACGGAGATTCCTCCCGCGCAACTTTTATTATCGGTCATCCTCAAGGTTTCCAGTCGAGGTCGATGAAGAGAAAGCCCATCATAGCTGACAACCTTGAATACGATTTTAAGCTTGTGATTGTAATTCATTCCCGGAAGGTTCTTTCTATTACATTTAATCTCGAGTTCGGTCCAATCCCTTCCTTCGCAAACGTAATATTCCTTCTTTCTTGTCTTTTCATCAACGATCGCTATGAAAACCTCATAAGACTGATGTAGGAGATTGTTTATTTCCTTGATATCCGTGTCATCGAACACTCTCTTCAATTTATTGTCGTCCTTCTTATAATCGAAATATTTAACAAAGGTTTTTTCAAAAATCATTTAAGGTATATTTTTTTTTTTTTAAAGGAAAAAAGAAAATAAAAAAGGTGATTTAAATTCTTTAGAAATTCACTAACAAACCTTATAATTATGAAATGATTGGCATAGGTTACGAAAAAATTTAGTATAGTTAAATGGCTAAAAGATTGCAAAGATAAATTATTATTTTAAGCTACTAAATCAGGAATCTTTAAAGGTTTTTGTAGGTGGGGTGTTGAAGGGTGAATTATATATACTTGCATATGCAATAAATAACGGACAACATGAAGTTAAAAAAAGATTGAATTTACATCCATCAAAAGCCACATACATAAATTAGGGTAATACATAATTAGGTATAACAATCCCAGCATTTTCTTTAACTTTTTTTGTCCCATTATACATACGTCATTTACCTATTATTTTAGAGTTGGAATATTCATTATATTCCTATAAATACAGTATATATATATATATATTTATTTATTTATAAAAAAATAATTGAATTGTCTCGTTTTCGAGATTTTTCTAACTAGTTTAAAGATTCTGTGTAATGTTCCACACATTTTTTTTTAAAAAAAAAATTATATGTAAATATTTACATTTACATTTTAAGTAAAAAAATAATGCCACAACAAGTTAGCTGATAATTTGTATCACACATAAGATCCGAAATCAGATTACTAATTAGAATTCTCGTTCATAAAAAAAAAATAAAACTTTACCTTGGAAAAAAAAAAAAAAAAAAAATTAAAAAATAAAAATAACAGAAAGAGTAATAATGGCAGATATAGTAAGCGGTGGTGAAACATATAAGCAATATCGTGTATTCCCCAAATAAGAAATATGTGGTCACGTGGAATCCACAGGAACATTACATCGTCGGATGGTCATACAACATGGACAATTTGGTCTCAGAAGTATATTACAAGGTTAATTTACAAAATAAAAAGAAATTTAACATCATTGCCGTTTCTAACGACAAACATGTTTCAGTTTATTGGGAGTACGAGGGGATGAATCATAATAGTAAGTGTGAATTCGTTTTATAAATTCATCACCAGAAATTTCATTCACGAAATTAAATTTTGTCTTTTTTTTTTAGTATTCATCGATTTGAAAGGTATGGTCATCGAAGAAAATGAGAGTATGGAAAAAGTAATTAAACCGGTTATAAAAGGGGATTTTTCGTTAGGTGGATCCTATCTTTTAACCGGTGATTATCTAAGTTATAAGCAGGATCAAAAAGATAATTATATCTTTTCCCTTTATGAAGTCAACCCTCAGCATTACAAATGCAAATCTACGTTCACAATTTATAGGTTGGCGTCGGTTTCCTTTTCTAGGCCTCTATTGAATGCCGAATTATTTGATAAATTGTTTTTGACTTACAAGGACACGAGAATTTTATCTCAATGGGATCTTTCTACAAAAAATAAATTGGAGAAACAGTATCCTTTGGATGTTGATTTAAAATCAACCGAGATCAAGTATTTAATCAACGAATCTTTCTTGGTGTTATACGGACCTGTTAAAGACGAGGATATGTTTAAGATTTGCGTTTACTCAACAGAAACAAGTATTATGATCTCTGATTATAAAATGGAAAAAGAGATCACTCATATTAATTTCCTTAACGTATTTCAAACAGTATGGTTATTGATCTCAATCAAAGATGTGTTTGGTGCGGATAAAAATTATGAACAACACATATTAAGAAGTCCTTATTCTCTTACTGAAGGTGTGAATATTACACCTCTACTATCAAAATTTAATAATCCATTTTTTTATTATGAGGAAATGGGGATAAAAAAGGAAAGGGACGCCAGTGAGAGTGAAAAAAAAAAGGACACGAAATGCGAGAGTGCAAGTGTAAATAGTGGAGTAACAAATACGGCAATCACGGCAATCAGTGGAGAGGTAGCAGAGATGATAGAGATGAGAGAGGATGGAAAAAAAGAAAAGATTTTGAAAATTATAGAGATAATTGGGAATGAGATCTTGATAAAAGATTTTAGTTATAATACGCTTAAAGATTTGATTATCAATCCAACAAGATTTACAATGTCCTTCAAAATAAACAATTTGTTAAATAATTTGCACGCAACATTAAAAAAGCAATTATACTTTTATGAATCATAAAGGTTCGGGCGAAACCTGATTATTACGCCCAATCCGAATCCGAAATCTAGGCGATATTAGTTACGCCTCAACAA